GTCACCAATACCAACTGTCTAGATGAAATGAAACGAAAGATATTGGGGTGAAAACGAACATTGTACTCGAAAGATTGCACTTGCTTGAAATGTAAACAAAGAAAAAATCCGATTTTACACTGCGTAGCATTTTCTGGAATTGTCCGTCACCCAGCCGTCCATTCTAGATGCTTGCAATGGCTCAATATCTTTAGAATATGCATGGAAAGAGTCTCGTGCCAAGAAACAGGGAATTAAAAACAGATACAATGCAATGATTTGATAATTCATAAGAATTTATCAAGGTTTCCGTGCAGCGTGACGCCATGACTGATGCAAAATAACGCAGAACGGTAATTATCAGCATTTCTGGCTTCTTCGCTTATTTATCCAATGAAAACTATAAAAACATATAACAATACACAGAGAGTCAGAAAAATTCTGATTACTTACATCACATATTTATGTACAAATGATCCCTGAATCAAGGGAAGAGTCCTCGCCAAATTCTGTGTACCCTTGTCAGCGAAGTCGCCATTTTGTAAGAAATCGGCCAGCGATAGTGATGTCATACGTCAACCTTGTTGCACATAATGGCAATTTCTTTGAGGTGAAGGTCGGCTGAACAAGAGTAAACACAATCGCCCTATCCTTTCGATTACACTGTCAGTATTATGATGTGTATTTTGCGTATAGTTCAGATACTTTTTCATGAAACTGACTTCAGTATCTACATTTAGTTTTGTTCAATATCATATCATACGTGCATATAGGTTTTTGAAAGTGTTTGATTGTTTGAATAATATTAACATAAGAAATTGACACATTTAGTGTAGTAGACCATATTCTGTCTGAAAACACTTTTTATTTGCATTTTGAAACATGTTGTTCCATTCTGTATTGATTTCTTTGGACGTTCTATTGCTTACCCCAATGCTATTGAGCTCAGACGTTATTTTGTCCCATATCTGCTTCTTTTTGTCATTAGTAATGGAGTTAGTCAGTTTGCTGTTTAACACACTGATATGATCTTCAACTAGGCCTGTATTTCACAACTTTCAAAGTTTTTACTGCGATTTCTGACGGCAGCCATTATGCAGACTATAGATGAGTGTTTACCTGCAATGCATCATGGATAATAATTAGGGGATTCCCCTAAGTTAATCATGGTTTAATGACGGGACCTTTGTTAGAGGCATACTTAGTTAATGGGTGTTTAAATAAGGGTTTATACAACCGTATTTAAACACTTCATTAACTAATCAAACATTAAGAATTTAATCAATGATTAGTGTTTAATTGATGATTACATAATTACGCGTTGATACAACTGGGTCCTGATGTACTAGTCTGATGTACTGCCCTCATGTACTAGTCTGGTGTACTGGTTTGATGTACTGGTTTGATGTACTGGTCTGATGTACTAGTCTGGTGTACTGGTTTGATGTACTGGTCTGATGTACTGCCCTCATGTACTAGTCTGGTGTACTGGTTTGATGTACTGGTCTGATGTACTAGTCTGATGTACTGGTTTGATGTACTGGTTTGATGTACTGGTCTGATGTACTGCCCTCATGTACTAGTCTGGTGTACTGGTTTGATGTACTGGTCTGATGTACTAGTCTGGTGTACTGGTTTGATGTACTGGTCTGATGTACTAGTCTGGTGTACTGGTTTGATGTACTGGTCTGATGTACTGCCCTCATGTACTAGTCTGGTGTACTGGTTTGATGTACTGGTCTGATGTACTAGTCTGGTGTACTGGTTTGATGTACTGGTCTGATGTACTGGGCTGATGTACTAGTCTGGTGTACTGGTTTGATGTACTGGTCTGAGGTACTGGTCTGAGGTACTGCCCTCATGTACTAGTCTGGTGTACTGGTTTGATGTACTGGTCTGATGTACTGGTCTGATGTACTAGTCTGATGTACTGGTTTGATGTACTGGTTTGATGTACTGGTCTGATGTACTAGTCTGGTCTGATGTACTGGTTTGATGTACTGGTCTGATTGGTTTGATGTACTGGTCTGAGTCTGATGTACTGCCCTCATGTACTAGTCTGGTGTACTGGTTTGATGTACTGGTCTGATGTACTGGTCTGATGTACTAGTCTGATGTACTGGTTTGATGTACTGGTTTGATGTACTGGTCTGATGTACTAGTCTGGTGTACTGGTTTGATGTACTGGTCTGATGTACTGGTCTGAGGTACTAGTCTGATGTACTGGTTTGATGTACTGGTTTGATGTACTGGTCTGATGTACTAGTCTGGTGTACTGGTTTGATGTACTGGTCTGATGTACTGGTCTGATGTACTAGTCTGGTGTACTGGTTTGATGTACTGGTCTGATGTACTGGTCTGAGGTACTAGTCTGGTGTACTGGTTTGATGTACTGGTCTGATGTACTGGTCTGAGGTACTAGTCTGATGTACTAGTTTGATGTACTGTTCTGATGTACTGGTCTGAGGTACTGGTCTGATGTACTAGTTTGATGTACTGGTCTGATGTACTGGTCTGGTGTACTGGATCCGGTTGTATCATTGCTTCATTAACTAATGTCAACATTAAACCCTAATGATACATTAAATCCTTAATGCATCATTAGGTAATTGCAACGTTAAAAACGGTTGTAAAAAACATTTTGCAGTGTCTACTTTTCAAACTGAGTTTATACCATGAGATATGACATTTAATACTCTATATTTCTGTGTAATTTTATAGCTGTAGGTAGACCCAGTGTGGCGCAAACGAAATTCTGGCGCAATGTTCACTTTTCCAGTAAGTTTAATGACGCTCTAATGATACCCCAGGACCTTCATTAAGTTAATGACTCGCTAATGACAACACCACGTCATTAAAACGTTAGTACAACAGAATTTAATGATACATTACTTAATGAACGTTTAATGGCACGTTTTGCGAGGGAACCTTTGTCCATAAATGTATGATGTAAGTAATCGGAAACATTCTGACTATCTGCGTACGTTGTTTGTTTTTATTGTTTTCATTGATAATTGCCTATGTCGTTCTCCATGATTTTGCGTCTCGCATGACGTCACGCTGCACAGAACTTTCGTATGAATATATCAAATTTCAGTATTGTATCTGTTTTTAGTTTTCTAGTTCTTGCTACGATACTCTTTCCGTGCATATTCTTAAAATATTGAGCTCATGCATGCTACGAATAGACGAACTGATGTCTAAAAAATTGAGAAAATGCTGCACAGTATAAAATCTGATTTTTGTGTGACCTTTATGTAGCCATTTGACGTCATAGGGGAAAATCCATTTTCAACACATATTGCGAGTCACTTTTAAGATTGAGTGAATAACGTTATACATAAGCACACAAACTAATTTAATACATACCTATGTCATTCAGGTATCAGGCAGAATTTTGTTCGCTCACACTTTCCGTAAAGATGCCAGATTGAAAATATAGTAGCACAGTACTTTCATCAGTGCACGATAAAAAGCAGGGAGATTTACTGTTTTTAACGCAGAACAAAATTAGGAGTAACATTCAGCAGTGTCTACTTTTCCAACTGAGTTTATACCATGAGATTGACATTTAATACTCTACATTTCTGTGTAATTTTCCAGGAAGATGCTTCATTAAAGTTTGATACAACCGGGTCCTGATGTACAGGTCTAATGTACTAGTTTGACTTGCTGGTCTGATGTACTAGTTTAATGTACTGATCTTAGTACTAGTCTGATGTACTAGTCTGATGTACTAGTCTGATGTACTAGCCTGGTGTACTAGTCTGGTGTTCTGCCCTGATGTACTGGTCTAATGTACTGGTTTGACTTACTGGTCTGATGTACTAGTTTAATGTACTGATCACAGTACTAGTCTGATGTACTGATTTCATGCCCTGTCTGATGTATTAGTTTAATGTACTTGTCTGATGTACTGGTCTGATGTACTGGTTTAATGCCCTGTCTGATGTATTAGTTTAATGTACTTGTCTGATGTACTAGTTTGATGTACCTGTTTAATGTACTTGTCTGATGTACTAGTTTGATGTACTAGTCTGATGTACTGCTCTGACGTTGTTGTCAAATGTACTAGTTTTATGTACTTGTCTAATTTACTAGTTTAATGTACTTGTCTAATGTACTAGTTCGATGTACTGGTCCCATATCGATGCGTTGAAGGCTTGGATTATATTTGTGCGCAATTTGCAATCCCAACTGAAATTTCCTCCGTCCTGATATCACTAACTACCACTCAACCGCTAACCTTTGTTCGATGGGGAAGTGCCATAATATACATTGACCTCTTTTCGACACCGGCAAAGAATCGTGTTACAAAACTTGAACGAAATCAAACAAAGATAGCCCTGAAGAGACTCTTGTCAGGACGCTCTAACGACAGAAGGAATCCATTGTACAATGGTGGTACTGTCTAAAACCGCCGCGTCCAGCATCTCGGCCATACATTGTAAATTGCCAGGCACGTGAAATTATGCTCTTGAAAATTGGATTTGACCCATAAATTACAAACCTTTTCTAAATGTCAGTAGGCTGGGACGCCACCGAGACGAATGAGAATGAACTCTGATTTGTGTATTTTTTGTAATTTTTTCCCTTGACTCTTTCTTAATGAATTGCGGCAAACGCACGACAAGTATTTGAATTTTTAGTCAAATTATTGGTAAATGATTTCTGTTTGTGAAATAATAACCATAAATCTGATATACGTCTTTGTTTGTATTTTTGGTCAAGTGGAGTCTGTGACAACTTTCTTTTGCCCGGTAGTTTATGTGTTGTTTGTTTTAGCCGTCCTCAAAAGCGTACTTTCTTTTGTACGACAGTTTACTGAACAAACTACAGGCAGCGTGTGTGTGTGTGCGAGTGTAAGTGCGTGCGTGCCTGCGTGTGTGTGTTTCTGAACATCAATCACCAATATTCAGGCAAACTACAACAGTCTGCTTTTTACAGAGAAGCACAATATATGTGGATTATAAAATAGAAAGGTATTCGTAAACACAGAGACATTTCTGGAAAGTCTCATCATGTTGGTGATGTGGTTCGTGCTCCTCGGCGGGATATGTGGATTACAGGCTATGAGTCTGGACAGAACTGGACAGGAATCCTTCCTGAAGTAATGTATTCCCTTGTAAAGCCTTTCTGTAGAGTGAGATCACGATACCCGTGAAGAACCGGGTTAGAAGTGATCTTCAGTAACCCAGGCTTGCCGTAAGAGGTGACTGACTGAATCGGGCGGTTAGGCTTGCTGACTTGGTTGACACATGTCATCGCATCCCAATTACTCGTGATTCTCGTGATTTTGATCACTGGATTGTCTGGTCCAGACGCGATTATTTACAGATCGACGTCATATAGCTGGAATATTGCTGAGTGCGGCGTTAAACAACAAACAACCAAATGTAAGTACACGACAGGGATATTCTCTTAGGTTATTCTCTTTGTGGATGTTTGGGACTCTCAAACTGGGTCCTAAGGTAACAGTCCTAACACACGACGTAAAATGTATTTGTGAAGCCCCAGACCATTCATAGAAGGAGCTTTTATTGCTTGACAAAAAGCGTTTTTCCTGGTAAAGAAAGTCTGAACCTGGAAAGTAACATGTACATTTATGCTACTTTGCACGTCAAGCTTGACCAGGCTTTATGTTATCTTTTCATCAAAACCGGATAATTGGCTCAACATTTACGTAGATAATATGCAAGTTTTCCTGTTTAATGCCATTCAGGAAAATATGTAACAGGTGAGGGTAGGCGAGGTCCCCAGGACCCTTTGTGCAAGTGGTAGTTAGACCAGGTCCCAAGGACGCTATGTGACAGTGGTGGTGAGGCTGTTTGCAGAATTCTGAATGACATATCGACACAAACAGTCCACCATCCCTCATACAGCTTTCAGCTGTTTGCAGAACTCTGAATGACATATCGACACAAACAGTCCACCATCCCCCATACAACTTTCAGCTGTTTGCAGAACTCTGAATGACATATCGACACAAACAGTCCACCATCCCCCATACAACTTTCAGCTGTTTGCAGAACTCTGAATGACAGGAGTGGGACTGTGTGTAGGAGAGTGACTATGTCTGCAAGAGCGTGACCATGAGTTTGGGAGAGTCACTGTGTGTAGGGGTATGCCTATAAGTGCAGGAGTGTGACTGTGTGTCTAGGAGCGTGACTGTGTGTAGGAGCGTAACTATGTGTGCGGGAGCGTTACTATATATAATATGAGCCTGACCATGTACAGGAGCCTTAAAGTGTGTGGGAAGTAGCGTGACTGTGAGTAGGAGTGTGACTGTGTGTAGGAGCGTGATAGTGTTCATGAGTGTGACTGTGTGCAGGAGTGTGACTGTGTGTTAAGGAGTGTGACTGTGTTCAGGAGAGTGACTGTGTGTAAGAGCGTCAATGTGTTCAGCAGTGTGACTGTGTGCAGGAGTGTGACTGTGTGTACAGGAGAGTGACTATGCGTTCAGGAGCGTGACTGTGTTCAGGAGTGTGACTGTGTGTAAGAGCGTCAATGTGTTCAGGAGTGTGACTGTGTGTACAGGAGAGTGACTGTGCGTTCAGGAGCGTGACTGTGTGTAGGAGCGTGACTGTGTTCAGGAGAGTGACTGTGAGTAAGAGCGTCAATGTGTTCAGGAGTATGATAGCGTTCAGGAGTGTGACTTTGTGTAGGAGCGTGACTCTGTGCAGGAGAGTGACTGTATGTAGGAGCGTCACTTTGTGCAGGAGTGTGACTGTATGTAGGAGTGTCACTATGTGCAGGAGTGTGACTCTGTGCAGGGGTGTCATTATGTGGTGAGTGATTGTGCGTGCAGGAGTGTGACTGTATGTAGGAGTATGTCTGTGTGTACAGGAGAGTGAATATGTGTACAGGAGAGTGAATATGTGCAGGAGTGTGACTGTGTGTAGGAGCGTGATTATGTGTACAGGAGATTGACTATGTGTACAGGAGAGTTACTATGTGAACAGGAGAGTGACTATGTGTACAGGAGAGTGACTATGTGCAGGAGTGTGACTATGTGTACAGGAGTGACTATGTGCAGGAGAGTGACTATGTGTACAGGAGTGTGACTATGTGTACAGGAGAGTGACTATGTGTACAGGAGAGTGACTATGTGTACAGGAGAGTGACTATGTGTACAGGAGAGTGACTATGTGTACAGGAGAGTGACTATGTGTACAGGAGTGTGACTATGTGTACAGGAGAGTGACTATGTGTACAGGAGTGTGACTATGTGCAGGAGAGTGACTGTGTGCAGGAGAGTGACTATGTGTAAAGGAGGGTTACTATGTGTACAGGAGAGTTACTATCTGTACAAGAGAGTTACTATGTGTGCAGGAGAGTGACTTTGTGTACAGGAGAGTGACTATGTGCAGGAGTGTGACTATGTGCAGGAGCGTGACTATGTGCAGGAGTGTGAATTTGTGTACAGGAGAGTGACTATGTGTACAGAAGAGTGACTATGTGCAGGAGAGTGACTATGTGCAGGAGTGTGACTATGTGTGACTATGTGTACAGGAGTGTGACTATGTGTACAGAAGAGTTACTATGTGTACAAGAGAGTTACTATGTGTACAGGAGAGTGACTTTGTGTACAGGAGAGTGACTATGTGCAGGAGACTGACTATATGTACAGGAGAGTGACTATGTGTACAAGAGAGTTACTATGTGTACAGGAGAGTGACTATGTGCAGGAGTGTGACTATGTGTACAGGAGTGTGACTATGTGTACAGAAGAGTTACTATGTGTACAAGAGAGTTACTTTGTGTACAGGAGAGTGACTTTGTGTACAGGAGAGTGACTATGTGCAGGAGAGTGACTATGTGTACAGGAGAGTGACTATGTGTACAGGAGAGTGACTATGTGTACAGGAGAGTGACTATGTGTACAGGAGAGTTACTATGTGTACAGGAGAGTGACTATGTGTGTACAGGAGAGTGACTATGTGCAGGAGAGTGACTATGTGTACAGGAGAGTGACTATGTGTACAGTAGCGTGACTATCTGTACAGGAGTGTGACTATGTGTGTAGGAGTGTGACTCTGTGCAGGGGTGTGATTATGTGGTGAGTGATTCTGCGTGCAGGAGTGTGACTGTATGTAGGAGTATGTCTGTGTGTACAGGAGAGTGAATATGTGTACAGGAGAGTGAATATGTGCAGGAGTGTGACTGTGTGTAGGAGCGTGATTATGTGTACAGGAGAGTGACTATGTGTACAGGAGAGTGACTATGTACATAAGAGTGACTGTGTGTACAGGAATGTGACTAGGAGCAGCAGTGTGACTATGTGCACGAGTGTGACTGTGTGTAGGAGTGTGACTGTGTGTAGGAACGTGACTATGTGTACAGCAGAGTGACTATGTGCACGAGTGTGACTATGTGTAGGAGTGTGACTGTGTTCAGGAGAGTGACTATGTGTACAGGAGAGTGACTATGTGTACAGGAGAGTTACTATGTGTACAGGAGAGTTACTATGTGTACAGAAGAGTGACTATGTGTACAGGAGAGTTACTATGTGCAGAAGAGTGACTATGTGTACAGGAGCGTGACTATGTGTACAGGAGCGTGACTATGTGTACAGGAGTGTGACTATGTGTACAGGAGAGTGACTGTATGTAGGAGTGTCACTATGTGCAGGAGTGTGACTCTGTGCAGGAGTGTGATTATGTGGTGAGTGTTTGTGCGTGCAGGAGTGTGACAGGTGTGCAGGAGTGTGAGTGTGTGTACAGGAGAGTCACTATGTGTACAGGAGAGTGATTATGCGTACAGGAGAGTGACTATGTGCAGGAGTGTGAGTGTGTGTAGGAGTGTGACTATATGTCCAGGAGCGTGACTATCTGTGCAGGAGTGTGACTATGTTTACAGGAGTGTGACTATGTGTGCAGGAGTGTGACTATCTGTACAGGAGTGTGACTATGTGTACAGGAGTGTGACTATGTGTGCAGGAGTGTGACTATCTGTACAGGAGTGTGACTATGTTTAGGAGTGTGACTATGTGCAGGAGTGTGACTGTGTGTACAGGAGAGTGACTATGTACAGGAATGTGACTGTGTGTAGGAGCGTGACTATGTGTACAGGACAGTGACTATGTGTACAGGAGAGTGACTATGTGAACAGGAGTGTGACTATGTGTACAGGAGCGTGACTATGTGTACAGGAGAGTTACTATGTGTACAAGAGAGTTACTATGTGTACAGGAGAGTGACTATGTGCAGGAGTGTGACTATGTGTACAGGAGCGTGACTATGTGTACAGGAGAGTTACTATGTGAACAGGAGAGTGACTATGTGTACAGGAGGGTGACTATGTGCAGGAGTGTGACTATGTGTACAGGAGCGTGACTATGTGTAAAGGAGAGTTACTATGTGAACAGGATTGTGACTATGTGTACAGGAGAGTGACTATGTGTACAGGAGAGTGACTATGTGTACAGGAGAGTTACTATGTGTACAGAGAGTTACTATGTGTACAGAAGAGTGACTATGTGTACAGGAGAGTTACTATGTGCAGGAGAGTGACTATGTGTACAGGAGAGTGACTATGTGTACAGGAGCGTGACTATGTGTACAGGAGTGTGACTATGTGTACAGGAGAGTGACTGTGTGTAGGAGTGTCACTATGTGTGCAGGTGTGACTCTGTGCAGGAGTGTGATTATGTGCAGTGAGTGTTTGTGCGTGCAGGAGTGTGACTGTGTGCAGGAGTGACTATGTGACAGGAGAGTGTGTACAGGAGAGTCACTATGTGTACAGGAGAGTGATTATGCGTACAGGAGAGTGACTATGTGCAGGAGTGTGAGTGTGTGTAGGAGTGTGACTACACATGTATATGTCCAGGAGCGTGACTATCTGTGCAGGAGTGTGACTATGTTTACAGGAGTGTGACTATGTGTGCAGGAGCGTGACTATCTGTACAGGAGTGTGACTATGTTTAGGAGTGTGACTATGTGCAGGAGTATGACTGTGTGTACAGGAGAGTGACTATGTACAGGAATGTGACTGTGTGTAGGAGCGTGACTATGTGTACAGGACAGTGACTATGTACAGGAATGTGACTGTGTGTAGGAGCGTGACTATGTGTACAGGACAGTGACTATGTGTACAGGAGAGTGACTATGTGAACAGGAGTGTGACTATGTGTACAGGAGAGTGACTATGTGTACAGGAGAGTTACTATGTGAACAGGAGAGTGACTATGTGTACAGGAGGGTGACTATGTGCAGGAGTGTGACTATGTGTACAGGAGCGTGACTATGTGTACAGGAGAGTGACTATGTGAACAGGAGTGTGACTATGTGTACAGGAGAGTGACTATGTGCAGGAGTGTGACTATGTGTACAGGAGCGTGACTATGTGTACAGGAGAGTTACTATGTGAACAGGAGAGTGACTATGTGTACAGGAGAGTGACTATGTGTACAGGAGCGTGACTGACTATGTGTACAGGAGCGTGACTATGTGTGTGACAGGAGAGGTGACTGTGTGTACAGGAGAGTTACTATGTGTAGGAGAGTGACTATGTGTACAGGAGTGACTATGTGCAGGAGTGTGACTGTACAGGAGAGTGACTATGTGTACAGGAGAGTGACTATGTGCAGGAGTGTGACTATGTGTACAGGAGCGTGACTGTGTACAGGAGGGTGACTATGTGTACAGGAGAGTTACTATGTGCAGGAGAGTGACTATGTGTACAGGAGAGTGACTATGTGTACAGGAGAGTGACTATGTGTACAGAAGAGTGACTATGTGTACAGGAGAGTGACTATGTGTACAGGAGAGTGACTATGTGCAGAAGAGTGACTATGTGTACAGGAGAGTGACTATGTGTACAGGAGCGTGACTATGTGTACAGGAGTGTGACTATGTGTACAGGAGTGTGACTGTATGTAGGAGTGTCACTATGTGCAGGAGTGTGACTCTGTGCAGGAGTGTGATTATGTGGTGAGTGTTTGTGCGTGCAGGAGTGTGACTGTGTGCAGGAGTGTGACTGTGTGTACAGGAGAGTCACTATGTGTACAGGAGAGTGACTATGTGTACAGGAGAGTGACTATGTGCAGGAGTGTGAGTGTGTGTAGGAGTGTGACTATGTGTACAGGAGCGTGACTATCTGTGCAGGAGTGTGACTATGTTTACAGGAGTGTGACTATGTGTGCAGGAGCGTGACTATCTGTACAGGAGTGTGACTATGTTTAGGAGTGTGACTATGTGCAGGAGTGTGACTGTGTGTACAGGAGAGTGACTATGTACAGGAATGTGACTGTGTGTAGGATCGTGACTATGTGTACAGGACAGTGACTATGTGTACAGGAGAGTGACTATGTGAACAGGAGTGTGACTGTGTGTACAGGAGCGTGACTATGTGTACAGGAGAGTTACTATGTGTACAAGAGAGTTACTATGTGTACAGGAGAGTGACTATGTGTACAGGAGGGTGACTATGTGCAGGAGTGTGACTATGTCTACAGGAGCGTGACTATGTGTAAAGGAGAGTTACTATGTGAACAGGATTGTGACTATGTGTACAGGAGAGTGACTATGTGCAGGTGTGTGACTATGTGTACAGGAGCGTGACTATGTGTACAGGAGAGTTACTATGTGAACAGGAGAGTGACTATGTGTACAGGAGAGTGACTATGTACAGGAGAGTGACTATGTGTACAGGAGCGTGACTATGTGTACAGGAGAGTGACTATGTGTACAAGAGAGTTACTATGTGTACGGAAGAGTGACTTTGTGTACAGGAGAGTGACTATGTGCAGGAGAGTGACTATGTGTACAGGAGAGTGACTATGTGCAGGAGTGTGACTATGTCTACAGGAGCGTGACTATGTGTACAGGAGAGTTACTATGTGAACAGGAGAGTGACTATGTGTACAGGAGAGTGACTATGTACAGAAGAGTGACTATGTGTACAGGAGCGTGACTATGTGTACAGGAGAGTTACTGTGTGTACAAGAGAGTTACTATGTGTACACAAGAGTGACTTTGTGTACAGGAGAGTGACTATGTGCAGGAGAGTGACTATGTGCAAGAGTGTGACTATCTGTACAGGAGCGTGACTATGTGTACAGGAGAGTGACTATGTGCAGGAGTGTGACTATGTCTACAAGAGCGTGACTATGTGTACAGGAGAGTTACTATGTGTACAAGAGAGTTACTATGTGTGCAGGTGAGTGACTTTGTGTACAGGAAAGTGACTATGTGCAGGAGTGTGACTATGTGCAGGAGTGTGACTATGTGTAGGAGTGTGACTATGTGTACAGGAGCGTGACTATGTGTACAGGAGAGTTACTATGTGTACAAGAGAGTTACTATGTGTGCAGGAGAGTGACTTTGTGTACAGGAGGGTGACTATGTGTACAGGAGTGTGACTATGTGCAGGAGTGTGACTATGTGTAGGTGTGTGACTATGTGTACAGGAGAGTGACTATGTGCAGGAGTGTGACTATGTGTACAGGAGCGTGACTATGTGTACAGGAGAGTTACTATGTGTACAGGAGAGTGACTATGTGTACAGGAGAGTGACTATGTGCAGGAGTGTGACTATGTGTACTGGAGAGTGACTATGTGCAGGAGTGTGACTATGTGTACAGGAGCGTGACTATGTGTACAGGAGAGTTACTATGTGTACAGGAGCGTGACTATGTGTACAGGACAGTTACTATGTGTACAAGAGAGTTACTATGTGTACAGGAGAGTGACTTTGTGTACAGGAGCGTGACTATGTACAGGAGAGTTACTATGTGTACAAGAGAGTTACTATGTGTGCAGGAGAGTGACTATGTGTACAGGAGAGTGACTATGTGCAGGAGTGTGACTATGTGTACAGGAGCGTGACTATGTGTACAGGAGAGTTACTATGTGAACAGGAGTGTGACTATGTGTACAGGAGGGTGACTATGTGAACAGGAGAGTGACTATGTGCAGGAGAGTGACTATGTGTACAGGAGAGTGACTATCTGCAGGAGTGTGACTATGTGTACAGGAGCGTGACTATGTGCAGGAGTGTGACTATGTGCAGGATTGTGACTATGTGTACAGGAGCGTGACTATGTGTACAGGAGAGTGACTATCTGCAGGAGGGTGACTATGTGTACAGGAGAGTGACTATGTGCAGGAGAGTTACTATGTGAACAGGAGAGTGACTATGTGCAGGAGAGTGACTATGTGTACAGGAGAGTGACTATGTGCAGGAGTGTGACTATGTGTGCAGGAGCGTGACTATGTGTACAGGAGAGTTACTATGTGTACAGGAGAGTTACTATGTGTGCAGGAGAGTGACTATGTGTACAGGAGAGTGACTATGTGCAGGAGAGTGACTATGTGTACAGGAGAGTGACTATGTGCAGGAGTGTGACTATGTGTACAGGAGCGTGACTATGTGTACAGGAGAGTTACTATGTGTACAAGAGAGTTACTATGTGTGCAGGAGAGTGACTTTGTGTACAGGAGAGTGACTTTGTGCAGGAGTGTGACTATGTGCACGAGTGTGACTATGTGCAGGAGTGTGACTATGTGTACAGGAGCGTGACTATGTGCAGGAGTGTGACTATGTGTAGGAGTGTGACTATGTGTACAGGAGAGTGACTAGGAGCAGCAGTGTGACTATGTGCACGAGTGTGACTGTGTGTAGGAGTGTGACTGTGTGTAGGAACGTGACTATGTGTACAGCAGAGTGACTATGTGCACGAGTGTGACTATGTGTAGGAGTGTGACTGTGTTCAGGAGAGTGACTATTTGTACAGGAGAGTGACTATGTGTACAGGAGAGTTACTATGTGTACTGAAGAGTTACTATGAGTACAGGAGAGTGACTATGTGTACAGGACAGTTGCTATGTGCAGAAGAGTGACTATGTGTACATGAGAGTGACTATGTGTACAGGAGCGTGACTATCTGTACAGGAGTGTGACTATGTGTACCGGAGTGTGACTGTATGTAGGAGTGTCACTATGTGCAGGAGTGTGACACAGCGCAGGAGTGTGATTATGTGGTGAGTGATTGTGCGTGCAGGAGTGTGACGGTGTGCAGGAGTGTGACTGTGTGTACAGGAGAGTCACTATGTGTACAGGAGAGAGACTATGTGTACAGGAGAGTGACTATATGCAGGAGTGTGAGTGTGTGTAGGAGTGTGACTATGTGTACAGGAGCGTGACTATCTGTGCAGGAGTGTGACTATGTTTACAGGAGTGTGACTATGTGTGCAGGAGCGTGACTATCTGTACAGGAGTGTGACTATGTGCAGGAGTATGACTGTGTGTACAGGAGAGTGACTATGTGTACAGGAGAGTGACTATGTGTACAGGAGAGTGACTATGTGCAGGAGCGTGAGTGTGTGTAGGAGTGTGACTATGTGCAGGAGTGTGACTCTGTGCAGGGGTGTCATTATGTGGTGAGTGATTGTGCGTGCAGCAGCGTGACTATGTGCAGAAGTGTGACTGTGTGTACAGGAGAGTCACTATGTGTTCAGGAGAGTCACTATGTGTACAGGAGAGAGACTACGTGCAGGAGCGTGAGTGTGTGTAGGAGTGTCACTATGTGCAGGAGTGTGACTATGTGAGCAGGAGTGTAATTATGTGTACAGGAGAGTGACTATGTTCAGGAGTGTGACTGTGTGTAGGAGCGTGACTGTGTGTAGAAGCGTGACTATGTGTGCAGGAGTTGACCATGTGTACAGGAGAGTGACTATGCGCAGGAGTGTTAATGTGTGTAGGAGTGTGACTATGTGCAGGAGTGTGACTGTGTGCAGGAGTGTGACAGAGTGCAGGCGTGTGACTATGTGTAGGAGTGTGACTGTGTGCAGGAGAGTGACTATGTGCAGGAGAGTGACTGTGTGCAGGAGAGTGACTATGTGCAGGAGTGTGACTGTGTGCAGGAGCGTGACCATGTGTACAGGAGAGTGACTATGTGCACGAGTGTGACTGTGTGCAGGAGGTGACCATGTGTGCAGGAGCGTGACTATGTGCAGGAGAGTGAATGTGTGCAGGAGTGTGACTATGTGGAGGAGCGTGACTATGTGTACAGGAGTGTGACTATGTGCAGGAGAGTTACTATGTGTACAAGAGAGTTACTATGTGTACAGGAGAGTGACTTTGTGTACAGGAGAGTGACTATGTGCAGGAGAGTGACTATGTGTACAGGAGAGTGACTATGTGTACAGGAGAGTTACTATGTGCAGAAGAGTGACTATGTGTACAGGAGAGTGACTATGTGTACAGTAGTGTGACTATCTGTACAGGAGTGTGACTAGGTGTGCATGAGTGTGACTATGTGCAGGAGTGTGACTGTGTGTACAGGGGAGTGACCATGTACAGGAGAGTGACTTTGTGTACAGGAGCGTGACTATGTGCAGGGAGTTACTATGTGTACAGGAGAGTGCCTATGTGCAGGAGTGTGACTATGTGTACAGGAGCGTGACAATGTGTACAGGAGAGTTACTATGTGTACAAGAGAGTTACTATTTGTACAGGAGAGTGACTTTGTGTACAGGAGAGTGACTATGTACGGGAGAGTGACTATGTGTACAGGAGAGTGACTATGTGTACAGAAGAGTTACTATGTCCAGAAGAGTGACTATGTGTACAGGAGAGTGACTATGTGTACAGGAGTGTGACTGTGTGTAGGAGTGTGACTATGTGTACAGGAGAGTGACTGTATGTAGAAGTGACACAGGAGGAGTCACCATGTGCAGGAGCGTGACTCTGTGCAGGGGTGTCATTATGTAGTGAGTGATTGTGTGTGCAGGAGCGTGACTGTGTGCAGGAGCGTGACTGTGTGTACAGGAGAGTCACTATGTGTACAGGAGAGTGACTATGTGTACAGGAGAGTCACTATGTGTACAGGAGAGTGACTATGTGTACAGGAGAGTGACTATGTGTACAGGAGAGTGACTATGTGTACAGGAACGTGACTATGTGTACAGGAGAGTTACTATGTGTACAGGAGAGTTACTATGTGTACAGGAGAGTGACTATGTGTACAGGAGAGTGACTATGTGCAGGAGAGTGACTATGTGTACAGGAGAGTGACTATGTGTACAGGAGAGTGACTATGTGTACAGGAGAGTTACTATGTGCAGGAGAGTGACTATGTGTACAGGAGAGTGACTATGTGTACAGGAGCGTGTCTACCTGTACAGGAGTGTGACTATGTCTACAGGGAAGTGACTATGTGCAGGAGTGTGACTGTGTGCAGAAGCGTGACTGTGTGCAGGAGTGTGACTGTGTGCAGGAGTGGGACTATGTGTAGGAACGTGACTATATGCAGTAGCGTGACTATGTGTGCAGGAGTGTGACTATGTGCAGGAGTGGGACTATTTGTACAGGAGAGTTACTATGTGCAGGAGTGTGACTGTTTGTAGGAGTAGAACTGTGTGTTTGAGTGTGAATGTATCTAGGAGCGTAACTCTATCTAGGAGGGTTACTGTGTCTAGGAGGGTGACTGTGTCTAGGAGTGTGACTGTATCTAGGAGGGTGACTGTGTCTAGGAGGGTGACTGTATCTAGGAGGGTTACTGTATCTAGGAGGGTGACTGTATCTAGGAGGGTTACTGTGTCTAGGAGGGTGACTGTGTCTAGGAGGGTGACTGTATCTAGGAGGGTGACTGTATCTAGGAGGGTGACTGTGTCTAGGAGGGTGACTGTATCTAGGAGGGTTACTGTGACTAGGAGGGTGACTGTATCTAGGAGGGTTACTGTGACTAGGAGGGTGACTGTGTCTAGGAGTTTGACTGTATCTAGGAAGGTGACTGTGTCTAGGAGTGTGACTGTATCTAGGAGGGTGACTGTGTGCAGGAGAGTGACTATGTGTGTAGTTGAGTTACTATGTGTGCATGAGTTTGATTTCTGTACTATGTTCGAATCTAAGATTGACTCCACACCCGAAAAAGTGTAATCACAAACATAACACATGCTAAAACTGTATGCTGTCGGTTACTGGGCAGCTATTGTGACAATCAGGAGTTTACAAGCAGGTAAAGTGCCAGTCTCTTCCAAGTCAGCCGTGGTCAAGCCATTGTTGAAAAAGTCTAACTTGGACCGAAGTTTGCTGAAGAATTACTGATCAGTGTCCAATGTATACTATTCCAAAAATGAAACGCATAAGCCAGAAATCGGTTGTGATAGTGGTATTATTCATATGCATGTAATTGTTGAACACAGATACATCGGAATTTTCACACTCATAATGCAGAAACATCAGAGCATAAAATCATAGACAGCAATACGTATATGACGGTCTCGTTTTCGACCAAGGTCCACTGAAATGTCAGTATATGTTGTGTCCGCCACGCACACGAATAACAGTTCTGACACGCCTTGTCATGGACTGGATCAGGCGCTGTATAGTCGCTTGGGAGATCCTTCCCCACTCCCCCTGCAGAAATGGAGCTAGCTCCCGGAGGGTTTGAGGTTGACATTGACGCTGACGGAGACGTTGATCCAGTTCATCCCAAAGATGTTCTAAGGGGTTAAGATCAGGTGAACGAGAAGGCCAAGGCAGCAGATTAACGTTGTTGTTAGCCAGAAAATCTAGTGTGGCACGTGCAATATGCGGCCTAGCGTTGTCCTGCTGAAAGATTTCATGTGGCGATGGGGTTGCAGAATATCGTCTCTGTACCGAACGGCCGTCAAGTTCCCCTGCACGTGGATAAGATCCGTCCAATTGGTATCGGATATCACTGCCCACATCATTACACTCTCTCTCCCCCCCCCCTCCCCCCTATCTACTTCACGTACACAGTTTGGAGCGTAACGTTCATGAACACGTCTATATACGTTTCTTGCATCCCGTTTTTGCAGCAGAAACCTGGTTTCATCGCTAAGCCAAATACGCCTCCAGTTTCGTAAGTTCCAGCCCAAAACGTTGTTGCACCACCGGAGACGTCGGGCGCGCTGATGGCTCTCAGACCGACCGTCACTCAACCTATTCCGTATGGTTTGTCCGGATGTTCTTCGAAGACCTGGGACCCTGGCTGCTGTCCCGTCAGCCGTAACGGTACGATCACGTAAATGAAGGACCCGGATGTATCGATCCTGAGCGGCTGTAGTAACTCTAGGTCTTCCGGTGCGTGGACGGTTATTCGTTGTGCCCGTTTCGTGGTATCGTGTTACAAGTCGAGATATTGTGCTCTGACTGACATTCAGAGGTCTTGCAACAGACGATTGTGACTCTCAAGCCTCTAATCTACCAATAGCGATGTTTCGTGTTGCAGCATCAAGACATGGCATAGTGATTTCGGCAAATAACTCAACATTACAATGGTAATTTTTGGAAATGATCTGCGAATTTATAGGTCTACACCGCATTACTGCATGCATCGCATAATTTGCACGTGCAAATGATTTGGGTTTTTGTGGCGATTTGTTTCACAAAATATGCAGTCAATTTGATAAAACACAACATTGACACAGGGTGGCCAGGTTTTGATGCATGGAATTGTGTAAAAAGTTGCCATTAAGTGATGTATGGCATATTGGGACGTCTGTGTTGAACTATGCGTTGAATAATGGATTTATTAAAACACCACAACAGCTATGCGTTTCTTTTTGGGAATAGTATATCATTAATTTCTAAACTTCTTGAGAAAGCAGTTAAACTCAGACTTCAGGAGCATTTAGTTGCCAATGATCTTCTTTATAAATACCAATCGGCTTACAGGACAGGACATGGAACAGAAACAGCCCTGAATTGTGTTCTTAACGATCTAAACATGATTGTTGACAGTGGTGATGCTTTTCTCCTGGTATTGCTCGATCTTTCCTCGGCTTTGGATACGGTGGATCACCAGCGATTGTTAGCACGCTTGCGGTGTGAGTTTGGAGTACAAGGAACTGTTCTCACCTGGTTCAAGTCCTATCTGACGGACAGAAGACAATGTGTGATGATAAGGGACCACCAAATAAGAGAACATCCAACTGACATGTGGAGTTCCCCAGGGTTCCGTGCTTGGTCCCGTACTGTTTACTCTATAAACATGTCAACTTGGAAACATCATACAAGAACACAGTGTTCCACACCACTTCTACGCTGATGATTCCCAGCTGTTGGAAGTTCTTCCTCTGGACCCTCATTTACAACAATCAGATGTACAGGACATGGAATCATGCATTCAAGATGTCAAGACTTGGATGGCAACTAACAAACTACAGCTGAACGACGAGAAGAAAGAACCTATAGTCATCGGTCCATCGTCTAGACTCAAAAAGCTTTGCGTCGATCATCTATCGGTGGAGACAGCTGACATCAAATTCTCACCGGTTGTGAGAAACCTGGGTATTCAGCTTGATTCCAGCCTCACTATGACAGATCGTATCAACTATCTTTGTCGTATCTGTTATTTCCATTAAGGAATATTGGCCCCATTCGCCCCTTTTTGACTGTTGACGCCACATCAGCTCTTGTGAGATCTCTCATATTTTCGAGATTGGACTACTACAACAGCCACCTCGTCGGATGCTCCAAAGAAACTATATACAACCTGCAAGAAATACAAAACACTGTCGCAAGAATCGTCACAAAAAAACGGCTTGAAATCTCACATATCACCAGTATTGAGATCACTACACTGGCTTCAAATAACGAAAAGGGTGGATTTCAAACAGTTGACTCTCATATACAAAATTATCCATCATCAAGCTCCCAGCTATCTCAACGATCTCATTGCTGTGTATGAACCTGCAAGAGATCGCAGATCTGCTCAACAACTTCAGCTTCAATTGCTCCATTCCGTATGAAAACCTTTGGATCACGATCATTCCAAATTCCTGCTGCACGCAACTGGAATTGTCTGCCATTAAACCTCAGGAACGTCCCAACTCTTGATGCATTTAAAGCAAGCCTCAAGACTCATTTGTTTGAGAATTAGACTTTTCATCATGATGTATATATGTTTGTTAGCGCTTTGAGCATGCTTTGTTACGTGGAGATTAGCGCATTATAATACTTCATTATTATTATTATTATTATTATGTTTTACAGATTAAAAATTGTATGCAGCAGAGAGGGTTCGGGTGATCCTGGCACAGTCAGGCTGGTAAGGCTCATCATCAGCTCAGGGCCCTTGCCTTATTATTATTATTATTATTATTATTATGTTTTACAGATTAAAGATAGTATGCAGCAGAGAGGGTTCGGGTGATCCTGGCACAGTCAGGCTGGTAAGGCTCATCATCAGCTCAGGGCCCTTGCCCCCTCTACACGCAGCCCAGACAGCGAATGGGACTTCTCCCAGGAAACGCTGCCTAGTTGAACCCACCAAGAACTTTCCGGAGAATATGAAGGCTCCCCAACACTGCAGCCTTCTGCATTACCCAGAGTGTCAGAAGGGCTGTGCTCCCGGTGGAGAACCCGGGCACTCTCCTGATCTGCGCCAAGAGATCAGGAGGTACCAAACCAAGGGCACCGAGAACAACAGGGAGCCTGACGACAGTGTACTTGGGATGCAAGCGAGACATTTCAAAGGCGAGGTCCGCATATTTATCATGCTTTTCCTTAATCTTGCCAATCACATTGGTGTCAAAAGGGACAGAAAATTCAATGATATAAATAAATTCATTGGCTTTATCAAAAGGACAAGATTTATTATTATTATTATTATTATTATTATTAATCATCTTTGGACTTTATATCTAAGGTTTATAACATATTGATCCTATTCAAAGAATTGTCAGTGTGCTTTTGTAACACGTATTCACACTATAGTAACATGACCCCTACTACTTTTCCCCTATAGAGTGACGATTACATCATCTATAGCTGTTCTACGATACAATATACCTATCTTGTCAGAACTATGAATCCAATGTAGAAGCAAGATATCAATGCTAATGTATTTAGGTATTCAATTATTAACCCCAAATACAGAACGTTCTTGCTCCAGTCAAAAATATTGACTCTTGTGGGAATATTCACTGAGGATGTGAATGTAACTAAATATTTTGAATGTGCCCAAATGTATCAAACTGACAAACTTTGGGCATTCATTGTTGCTCCCTTCACACAACAATCATGTTTCCTGCATCTCCCTGAAACTGAATAATAGTGCTGAAAGTTTTGGTGTTTTGTCAAAAGGGCCCTTAACAATTGAATTTGTAATTCTTCAGTAACATGAAGAATTTATAAGCTCAATACTCAATACGCCTTTGCTGCCGTTACAGAGCGGTATTGTATTCAAATGGTTGATTTTGTAATGATCAACGTTTAAAAGAGTATGTTATAGGGACTAATTCAGGACAACCATCGTCCAAATAT